GCATGACATTCAAGTTGAGAAAATAATTGTAGATGTATATCAGTGGATTTTCCTGAAAGCAGACTTATAACACATGGAATATCTAAACGACAATATAAACTAGAAGCTTTGAATACGCGATGAACTCACTTTGTTGAAATTTCAAGCAATGGATTGTATAGTTGTTTAAACTGCGATGGACATGAATCGAATGTCCTATCGAGAAAAATCCATTCCGATAAAAACAACGTTTCAAGTTGTTTATCAATCGCAAATAAAATCATTCGTTTGTTTCTGATAAACCTATCGGTACAAACGAATGGTTTACCATTGAGTGTTTGACGGTAAAAATCAGGAATATCGAAATCACTTGATGTGGATAGTAGTGGAGTTATATTTCGACGAATACGATTTAAAACAGATTCTATAAAGAACAGCGACATATTAGAAACTAAAATAGATAAACAGCTTACTTGCATCAGCTGGAAGTGGTGCAAGGATAAGAGCAGCTGAAGAGAGATTAGAATGAGCTAATTCTTCTTCATAAATTTTGGGCACAGAAGTCGTTTCACTTTCCACCCTCTCCTTTACCTTGTTTTTCAGATCTCGAAGTTCAATACGTTCGAGTGCAGGCAAATGTCGGTGCTGTCCATTAGATTGAATGAGTTCATCATTTGCATTAGTATGAACATTCGCTGCACAGTTATTTGATTGGCAAACCCAGTATTTAACGTTTTTTGTTGACTTTTTTAGTCGATAAACATATCCTGAATAAATAAGCATTCGTTTACCTCGATTTGAAGCGGTAAAAGAGAGTGTTGTTGAGTCAGTCATCACTGGTTGGTAAAATGGACTAAATGAAGGATGTATATATCAGTGAACTATGTAACATCGCTTACGGACAATTGTATATCGAAACTAAAAAATATAGTAGATTATCACGTCGAGAAGAGTGGAACGAGCAAGAACTACCATATATACACAATCATTAACATGATGATTCATCGTCAAGCATAAACAATCGAATCTTATCAAGAAAAAATTTCTTTAATTTCTAGAGTCGCTGTTTTTTTGCTAATTAAAGAAACATCGAGTTTTCGCTACTTTGCCTTTCGCAGTTTTTATTTTCGCTATTATAATTTTCGCGCTTAGGTGTGTCAGCGTTCCCTTTCCTTTGGATTCCGTTCCCTAGGAACGGGAACGCGTTTGAAAATTGGTTTCCCAACACTATCCAGTATTCGAAGATGCTCAGATGTGGCTATTTTTTTCATTTGTATGGAAACATGATGGGCTGCCGAGTTCCTAAGGACGGGAACCCGCCTCGGGTTCCGCGTTCCTAGGTACGGGACGCCGCTCTGGGTTCTGCATTTCTAGATACCGGAGCTCACTCTAGGCTCCGACTTCCTAGATAATGAAACTTGCATCGCGTAGCCATCAGTAGACAGATTTCCGAAAAATGAAACTTCCGCACTAACCGTTCCAATTCCGAAAACTGCAACCAGAAAGAATGTAACCTTCAGAACTTAATCATACAGTGATGTACGTGTTGATATATCTTTTATGACTTGTCGTTTTCTTGTAAAAACATCACGATTACTTGATAGAAAGAAAGACCATGTTGATGATGAAACATTCAAGCAATATTGTATTATTCTATTTTTTTTAATTATGCTGAATTTATTCGTTGCATCCATATTTTTTTGTCTTCTTTATATAATTTTTGCGAATGCTTACAAACATAGGAGTCAACAGACAAGATAATGATAGCAAACAGAGAAAGAATGACAAGAAAGAGGAAAAAAAGAACGAAAATCGAGGCAGCAATGACGAAGTCGGCGTGCATTGCTATTCTTCCTTCGTTTATTCTTCCGATGCCGTATATCTTGACACCGAAGACACCAAAGACACCATACTGGGAGACGGGATCGAACCTTCTGATGTCTGAGTAACAATCAGATGCATTATTCTATTGGACAATTAGAATAATTTTAATTTAAATTACTTGGCTGAACAGAAACCAAATTAAATTTATTATTATTTTGGTATATATTTCGACATGTTCTTAATGCCCCTAATATTGCTCTATTTTCAAGTAATATTTTGTTCGCTCACTGGTGTTGCTTAATTTTTTTCATATCTTATATTCCTTCGCGCACCAACACTTGTAATGAAATTT